TACACTTGCTTATGCAGGATTAGAAAGAAAGATTTTTTTCTCTTAGCCTGGGACACGAGGACTACTGACGCAGTAAAGGCAGCAGTTGCAGGGTAACATGATATGTGATAGCGATAAACGTTTCAGAACTACATATTTTACTGACAGGCTACTGCAATTTTCTCTCCTACATGCGAAGATTAATTGCTTACAGCAAGTTACATTTCTCCTACATTCACCAGTAATGTGAATTACTGATAATTAATTACAGTACGTACCAGTACCAGGTACTTATCTGCCCTAGATCTTCTAGGATATGTTCATTTGCCCCAAGTACAGCATTCCATAAGCAGAGCAAACACGAAGCAGGCGATCACAACTTGCCCAAGCTTAAATCACAACCCTAAACAGACAACATAAAATTTTCAAATGTTCTTTGCAAAAAAACCTATTTCTCTGTCCAAAATCCTTTTTGAAGCTGGATCCCATTAAAATTACAATTGACTACACTGCTAAGAAAGTATTTGCAGCATGCTGTTCTCACACAATACTTCATTCCTAAAAATCACTGTGGCTCCCTTCAAATTAAAGATGTTAAACTTTTTGGACTACAATTTGGGATCTGTGTCTACAAATTTACTACCTCTTTAAAGCTAGACAGAAATAACTTTCGGATGAAGTGTCGGCATTATGTATCTTAAAGCATAAACATTTTCTAAGGCCTGTTACAAAAAATGTTGGATAAAAAGGCATGAACAACAACAGCTTAATCCAGCCCCATGCAGCATACCCCCCTTCTGGAATGGGCATGACTCCACTAATTACAACCTCGAAGAAATTATCGTTATGGGAACAGACAGGTACCCCAGGCAGTACCAAGACATTTCATCTGAATGCGTGCTCCTCCCGCCAGCCCGTGCCTTGGTGGCCCCCTTCCATCAACCTACCCCACGGGGAGCTGCGGTGCTGGAGTGACTGAGACATTGAGTAATCTCTGCTGTCAACGTGGGATGCGGCGGAACAAGCAGACTCCCCGGATGGTGTTAACAACCCCGCTAAGGAGACTAATGCCTTCAGCTGCACTTTCACACTCTGGTATTGGTTTCAGTATAAAACAAAATCTCGCTTGTAAAAAGCCTAATCTGTAAGAGTACTGATGCTTAACCTTGGAGCGTTGAATTCTCACATTCCTCTTGAGAAATAATGGAAGTTTCTGTCCTGCATGTATGGCTTTATTTCCCCCCCCCCACCCCTTCTATTGTCAT